GCTGCGTTGTGCAGCGATATTGAGCTGCGTTGTGCAGTGATGTTGAGCTGCGTCGGGCAGCGATGTTGAGCTGCGTCGGGCAGCGATGTTGAGCTGCGTCGGGCAGCGAATAGAGCTGCGTCCAGTGGCGATTTAAGCTGCGTCCAGTGGCGATTTAAGCTGCGCTTGCAACTTTTGGAGCTGCATTTGAACTGCGTTCGTGGCTATGAACGCGGCGCATCTTGATGCTGGTACGCGGGGAGGACTTCCACGTCTTGATTTGAAGAGACCATTGATTTGTAGTCTCTTTCTGTCGAAGCGTTGCAAAGATCGTCATTTTGTAATCTTTACTTTAGCTCTTTGATATGCAAGAGTCGTCAGATTGTAACTCTCGATGTTGATGGTGAATGCTGTTGAACTAGAGCTCTCATCGGTTGTCGTGAAGGTCGTCAGATTGTAACCTTTAGCGATCTACGTGAAAGTCTTCAAATTGTAGCCTTCTGGAAGTCGTCAGATTGTAACTTCCATCATCGGTGTTTGATGGGGATCAGCTATCTATTGTGATTTTTAGACAGCCTACAGGGATCAGAGAAGCAGTTAGAGAATTTTTTTTCCAGATTCAATACACTCTCGATGTGTGTTGCATCTAGTTGAGAACTTCAGGACAAAGTTGAAGGATTTGGGATTCAAATCAAAAGATACTCAGATCTTGGGTAATCTATTGCAATCTGCCTGTTACAAATATACTAGAGCAGAATGGAACGATTACATGGACGACATTAGACTGGTTGACGAAAGAGCTTACAATATTGTGATGAACTACGCTCCAGAAAACTGGGCCAATGCGTTTTTCCCTAGAGTTAGGTAAGTTATAAGCTATTTCATTACATGACTATTATAAGCCGCTTGACTAATTTCCTATTATGTTTCAGATATGGTCACGTTACATCAAATGTTGCAGAGTCATTCAACAAATGGATACATGAGGCTAGGCTACTACAGATACTTCAACTGGTAGAGCACATACATAAACAGATTATGGTTCGTATGAATGAGCGACGAACCATGGCTGAAAGCTGGAATCAATTTCTTTGCCCCAAAGCTGAACTTGCTCTCAAAGAGAACATGGAAAATGGCCGTCCATTGGAGGTTCGTCAGTCCCGCACATGATTATTTGAGGTACAATCCCATAGATCTTGTCAAGTGGATCTAGATAATAAAACATGCTCTTGCAGAATAGAACTAACACTGTGCAGAATAGAACTAACACTCTACAGAACAGAACTAACTTGGTATAAATTAGAACTAACTTGGTATAAAATGAGAACAAACTTTGTTTAAATTAGAACTAACTTTGTATAAATTAGATCTAACGTTGTATAAAATAGAACTAACTTTGTATAAATTAGATCTAACGTGGTATAAATTAGGTTTATACCGTTGTAAAAAATAGAACTAACTTGGTATAAATTAGAGCTAACGTGGTATAAATTAGATATAACGTGGTATAAATTAGGTTTATAACGTGGTATAAAATAGAAATAACCTGGTATAAATTAGTAAATTAGATCTAACGTGGTATAAATGAGATATAACGTGGTATAAATTAGGTTTATAACTTGGTATAAAATAGAACTAACATAAATTAGATATAACGTGTAATAAAATAGAACTAACAAGCCATTACACGCTACAGAATAGAACTAACACTGTGCAGAATAGAACTAACACTCTACAGAATAGAACTAACACTGTGCAGATTAGAACTAACACTCTACAGAACAGAACTAACACTGTGCAGATTAGAACTAACTTGGTATAAATTAGAAATAACATGGTGTAGATTAGAACTAACTTGGTATAAATGAGATATAACGTGGTATAAATTAGGTTTATAACGTTGTAAAAAATAGAACTAACTTGGTATAAATTAGTAAATTAGATATAACGTGGTATAAATGAGATATATCGTGGTATAAATTACGTTTAAAACTTGGTATAAATTAGATCTAACGTGGTATAAATTAGGTTTATAACGTGGTATAAAATAAACTAACTTGGTATAAACTAGAACTAACTTTGTATAAATTAGATCTAACGTGATATAAATTAGGTTTATAACGTGGTATAAATTAGAACTAACATAAATTAGATATAACGTGGTATAAATTAGATATAACGTGTAATAAAATAGAACTAACAAGCCATCACACGCTACAGACTTGAACTAACACTGTGCAGAATAGAACTAACACTGTGCAGATTAGAACTAACACTCTACAGAATAGAACTAACACTGTGCAGATTAGAACTAACACTCTACAGAACGGAACTAACACTGTGCAGAATAGAACTAACACTGTGCAGATTAGAACTAACACTCTACAGAATAGAACTAACACTGTGCAGATTAGAACTAACACGCTACAGAATAGAACTAACACTGTGCAGATTAGAACTAACACTCTACAGAATAGAACTAACACTGTGCAGATTAGAACTAACACTCTACAGAATAGAACTAATACTGTACAGATTAGAACTAACACTCTACAGAACAGAACTAACACTGTGCAGAATAGAACTAACACTCTACAGAATAGAACTAACACTGTGCAGATTAGAACTAACACTCTACATAATAGAACTAACACTGTGCAGATTAGAACTAACGTTCTACAGAATAAAACTAACACTGTGCAGATTAGAACTAACACTCTACAGAATAGATCTAACACTGTGCAGAATAGAACTAATACTCTATAGAATAGAACTAACATTGTGCAGAATAGAACTAATACTCTACAGAATAGAACTAACACTGTGCAGAATAGAACTAACACTCTACATAATAGAACTAACATGTTATAATATATAACTAAAAGGGTGCAGATTGGAACTAACACAACATTAGTTATACTAATATATAAGAACTAACACGGTTCTCTGTATTTGGGTTAAGATTTGTAACAAACTGTTTTCTGGATAAGCAAAATTTAACAAGAACTAACATGCAATGATGCCAGGTCTTCATTTGTTGCTGCCCTCGCTGGATCGGTTTGGGTCTAATAAACCCTTTTCGCTGTCACTCGCCTTCCTTTTCGAAGGTCCTGGCTTACTGCGCTTTGAACATGGAGAACTGGATTCCGCTAAGCCACTGTGGGAGACGACGGGGTGTAAAGGGAGAGGAACATTGCCGGTAGGGAGAGACCTCGGAGAATTGGCACCCCCAACCCCTTGGTTACGGAGAAACAACTGCCATTGGTCTCTCTCGACCGTCATGTGTTTGCCACCCCAACTAACCTCAATTAACTCGGGGTCGGTCCTAAAGGGCTGCGCACGCTGGGGCCCTAAGTTGAGTCGTGTGGATACCTGAGCCCTCTCCAAATTCCCCCCGCATTGGACCTGCGTGATGGCGTATCCTTCCCTGGCGTTACCGTCCACCGGCGAGATGTAACGGAACCCAAGCCTCTTAGGGATTTCAGATAAATCCCTAACCTTGAGTAGAACTCTACAGTCTTTGAAGTTAGAATGTGTTATGACGTCCCTGGAGCACATGACACATTCACCGATACCAATGAGCAGAGATTGAAGAAATTCAAAATTCCAGAGGTGGTATGGGAGATTGAATAGGCGAATCCATACTAGAAAGGGTTGAGGCAACGTTGTTAGCCTCAGATCCTCTTTCCAACGGCGAAATCTGCCCTTAAATGTGCCCATATCTATCAAACCGAGATCAATAGCTTGGGCAAGAACTTCATCGGATGGAAACTGTACCATGAAGCTGTTCCCTGCCGCCTCCTTGATTTGATGGGGCCATGACCTAAGATTGAAGCGGTAGGCCAGCATTTCTCGGAGCTCCTGCACCGATGGACGGCCTCTATCAAGATTGAAGATGGCGAAAGCAGAAAGATGCCGTATGGTGCTGGAGGTGTTGGCCGGGACGGTAAGCATCCTCGGAGGGGCACGAGCGGTAATTCCATGATGACAATCTCGAGAGCTATGTCCTGTCCCATGGCAGTGTACACAAAAAGGATCCCCAGCCATTTGTTAGGGTATACGATGAAAATAGATGACGATGGGTTGCGGTTTTTAGCAGGGGGAGGAGTTTGCAGAGGCGCCTACGCTGGGGCCAGTAGAAGAATGGTGGTGACCGTACTATCGATGGAAGTTGGTATTTAAGTTAATTAATTATTTAACTGACTTGGGAATACGCGAATATATGATGTGATATGTTAGTGTGATGGAACCGTCGCTTCGAAAGAAGTTAACAGCTGGAGGTTTGAAGATAACTTAAAAATTAAAAAATTAGAACTGGCTATGAGATAGAACTAACGAGCATGGTACAGAATAGAACTAACGTTGTATGAGTTAGAACTAACGAGCATCAATAGAACGAACATGGTACAGATAGAACAATACATCTGATAACAATCATTTTCAATTACTTAAATATACATACATTATTGTATTTGTATGAACATATCATTCATCACTGTACACTGTTTCTTCTTTATGTCTTTGTTCAAAACCAGCCAGTAATAATTGTGCGGCAAGTCTTGCTCGCATAGCTTCAGGGATATCGTTCAGAGGATTAACCAGCAATGTTGATCGTCCTTCAATTATGGATTTTACAAAGAGGTAGACGAACACACCACAGTCAAAGCTGCAACATAGAGTGAGTTCATTAGACATTTTCGGTCCGTTCTAATACTATAACACAAATTAACACAATATAGACATCGAAACTAACCGTCCTCTTTGTTGCTCGCATTTGATGACTTGATATCTAAATATTTTGCGCACATTATCTTCAATAAAATCAGCATGATGGGCATCAAAGAAGTTTATGATTTTATTAACAGGCTCCATCCAAGCTTCGTGCCCAGCGGATCTGTAATGCGTGACGACTTTATCTTTAAGATCAACTTCTACAAGATGCCAATGATCGTGCCTGACCAAAGGGATCAAGAGATGCTCCATGCGGAATGCGGTATATTTGTCAATGAATGACAAATATAGCTCGTAATTGTTCACCTCCAAGCCATAGAGTGAGTGCTGCAAACACATCATGTTTGAGTTGAAATTAAAACAAACATGAGTTGCGAAGGCTAACTAACACCGTATTAATTAGAACTAACACGCTGTAGGCATCGAAAATTGCCTATAGGTCTCCGCGAATAGCTCAGTGTTAAGGAATGACAATGAATGTCACTATCTGGTTCACAGGAGTTCGACTGACGTCGGTGAACGATTGAAGTAAACCGACGAACTACGTGAGCTGACGGAATTTCGGGATAACGAAAGCACGGGCTAATCGAGAGCCCCGTGATGTTACAAAAAGAACAACACCCTTCGTGTCTCGTTCATTCTACAGATAATCCAACCATTGGAGCTGATAGAACTCTTCATCAGACTTCCAACGCACTTCGAATCACTAAAATCCGAGTTCGGACGAAGAATTTACAGCGGAAGCGGACGAATGCACCTCAACGGAGCGTCTCGGTCAATGCGAGACACCCCAAGGGTGTCTCGGATTTTCCAAGACACCCCAGGGGTGTCTCGGATTTTCCGAGACACCCCAGGGGTGTCTCGTAATTTCCGAGACACCCCAGGGGTGTCTCGGATTTTCCGAGACACCCCAAGGGTGTCTTGGATTTTTCGAGACACCCCAGGGGTGTCCCAACGCGGATTTGAGCCCTGTAATCCGTTTTAACCGCTCCGTTATCCCTCATGCCTATAAATACAAGCCTTAGGCCTCATTTTTTCAGATCTGGAATTTTGGAGAATAAGCGAAGCCCTGCCGGAGTGAAGAGTGATCGAGCACTTCAACAAAAGAGAGTTCTTCGTCAGATCTACATCATCCATACCCGATCCTTAGTATTATCACGTTGTGTTAATACTAAGAAGAGCAAATATCTCGCTTTATCCGAGATAGGCGCTTCAAGTTTCTAGATCTCCTCGCGGATCGACGAAGCTCTGGATCAGATCTGATTGCCAGGTAGTCCACGGATATCGACGTCCCCGTCACAGGCTAAAGACCCACGCAAGCAAGAGACGACGAACGGATCTTGTGTTTATTTTCAAGAAAGTTGTAATTTTTATTTCTTTGTTGTTTGAATTCATTTGTAACGTTTGAAGTTTAATTGAAATCAATGATGAAGGTGTTGTTTGAATTCATTTGTAACGTTTGAAGTTTTAATGAAATCAATGATGAAGGCAACTTTTGACGAAAACAAACTGGCGACCACAGTGGGAGCCAACGGCCTCGCTGCCGAGGCCGTCGTGACGCAACCGGCCTTCAAGATCCGGGTGAACGAAGAGATCGAATACGAGTTCGATCAATAGAAGTTTGAAGAGTACCTCTCTTCCTCCTCCTCCAGCTCCGCCTCTCCAAACAGGCGCAGGAAGACTTCATCTTCCAGAAATGCTCGCGGGACCTCCGACTCGAAGATCCGAGATCCCCTCGCTGTTGCATCTACTCCCCGCGACGTTCCTATGACGTCCAACGCGGTTGAAGCTGCAGATCCAGATCTGCCCTCCGCCGTAAAGACAAGTGTCGAAGGTGCTCCAGCTTTGTCGAAAAGGGCACGCCAAAGACGGCGTCAACGCCTCGCCCGACAACTGGCCAAGGCCGCAGAATCGATAGATGGGATCCGCTACAATGAGGATCTAAAGTCCAGACAGCGCCAGGAGCAACAACGGCGATCAACCAACTCCTCCTCCAAGACAGAGACGAACGAATGGGTTCGTGTCAAGAGGACTCGCTCAACCCTCGAAGAGCGAATCAAGAAACGCCACACATTGCTTGCGCATGCTCGAGTCCTTCTACAGAAAGCGGAAGAGATGCAAAAAGAAGAGACGGTTAAGAAGCCGTCAAAACACAAGCAAGTGTGGGTGCCAAAGGCAAAACCGGCACCAAAGGCAAAAGTGGACGGAATTGTCGTCCAAGCTTCATCAAATCCAGATCCCGTTTCCCTTGCCCCTCCGGAGGAGCCAGGTAAGAACTTGGGTCTTCCTAGATCCAAGGTTCCTTTGAAAGGTCGCCTCGGTCCTTTACCGGAAAACCGAGGTAAAGCACCTGTCAAGGAGCGATTGGGACCGATGAAAGGTTCCCAAACAACAAACCAGACTGGGGGTCGTGCTAATCCCCCCAAGAAAGATAACAAAGGGAAAGCCACTGTTACCGACCGCATTAGATTGCGGGTCGAAGTTCAAGAGCCCGTTAAGTTTTCACGCTCGCAAAAGCGTAGACTTGAACGAGCGACTTTTGAAAACGCTAATAAAGCGTCATATCCCCAGAGGGAAACACATTCGTCTGATGATGATTGTGTTATACCTGGGAAGTCACAGAAGGAAATCGACGCAACACTTAAACCCAGATCAGTTTGCCGATGTATCCCGGCGTATGACTCGGTTGCGGTCAGGAATCAATAAGCGAAAGAATTACCGAAAGATGCAGAAGGGACTTCCTTTGGAAGAGGAGGTGTCAGATGCTGGTTCAGATTCTTGCTCGGCTATAGCGTCCGATGACACGGCTTCTAGTGTGGGACAACCCTACGAGTCATTCATGATCAGCGCCGAGCAAGTAACCAAGATGCTTGAAGATGCCCTGACTAAGTAGAAGGAAAGTTTCAAGTTCGAGATGGAGATGGCCATGCAGCAGATGAGAGAGATGCATGACCAGCAAATCGCGGCACTGACAACTCACCAAGGAGAACCCAGTCGTCGCAATAATCCGAATCAAGAGGAGAATGAACGGGAAGAAGATAATGTCAACATAACTATTCCTCCTGTCAACAACAATAACGGAGGCGGTCCCTCGGATGATAATGCGAAGGAGGACCACGTTACCTCTCCCAGAAGCCACTCGAAGACAGATGCGAGTGAAGACAAGAAAATGAAGGATTTGGAGAGCAAAATCAACGCGTTGATGAATGCTCAAGAAGTGAAAAGGTCCGGCATACCATGTCCATATCCAAGGGAGTGGGAATCAATTCCATATCCGGCAAAGTTCAATCTCATTAACTTTACGCCGTTTGATGGAAAGGGTTCCCCTACCCAACACTTAATATATTTTAAGTCTCACTTAGGAATAATCTCCGGCAATGAACCCTTGATGGTACGGTCATTCGTTTGCACTCTTCGCGGAGCGGCCTTCGATTGGTATCGTCGCCTCAAGCCGGGGAGTATCAGCAGTTGGGACGACATGGAGGATATGTTTCTGACGAACTTCTTCGACGACGACACTGAGGTCTCAATCGGCACTCTGTTTGATGAGAAGCAGAAGAATGGTGAAACAGTCGAAAACTTCGTGAAGAGATTCCGAAATAAAGCAATGAATTGCAGGGATCCGGTCAGCAAAGATTTCATCCTCGAGACCTGTCATAATAATCTTTCATTGGACATCCTTGAAGCCATGGGAATGGCACCGCCAAAGACCTGAAAAGATCTGAAGGTACGAGGAGAACGAGCCGAACGATTCCTTAAAAAGAAGAAGGCGGAAAGGGGCCAAATAGCAAATAACGCTCCGCAACAGAACTTTGTCCCTAAGGGAAAGGGAAAAGCACATGCGAATGCTGTGGACGCGAATCAGACATTCGAGGTGCAAGCACAACCGCAACAACAGCAACAAAAAGCACCTCAACAATCAAGATGGCAACAGCAGCCCCAGAAGCCAAAAGCCTCGGAACCGAAGTTCCCAAAGGTCTATTCGTTCAAAGAGGATGAAGTCCCCGGTATCTTCAAGTACCTCATTGAGAATAACAAGATCAAATTACCTCCAGTCCAGGATCAGGAAGATGCTAAGAGAGTCAATGATCCAAAATACTGCACATTTCATAGAGCAGTGCACCATCCTACCAAGGCGTGCTATGCCCTTAAGGACAAGATCCAAGCTCTAATCGATATTGGGGTCATCACCATGAAGCAACCGAAGGAGAAGAAAGTGGGAGCAAATACAGTTTCAATTAGTTTTGGTTCCGTTCCCTTGAACTGGTTCCAACATGAGCCGGTAATAAATACAGCAGTGAAGACAGTGAACGATGATCCTCACAAGCAGCGCCAGAAAGGACTTGTACCGCACACAGCCCCGAATGGTGAGATTCTTTGGGTTCATCCAGATTTGATTGGAGATGAAAAATGGACTGGAGCCTCTTCCAAGAAAAGGTCGAAAGGAAAATGTAAGTCTTGTTATGGAGCTTTTGCTATTCCAGGAAAAGACGACGAGGAAATCCCAGCCTTCCCGCTTTCTGAAGACGAACAGGAGGCCTTTGTAACACGAAGCGGGAATGAATATCATTACAAATATCCGGAGGCTTCCGAGCAACTGGGAGCAAACAAAACTGTTCCCTCAAAGACGCTGACAGAACTGGGAATTGTCGCAACTCCCCCAATACCTGTAGCTACAGAGAGAGTCCAGCAAAAGGAGAAGGGGAAAGAGCCTCTACACCAGGAAGCCCAAAACCCGAGGCAGTCTCGATTCAATCATCCGATTGGGAAAGACAAACCGGGAAAGGCAAGCTCTCCGCCCCATTTTGACATCATGGTGCAGTTGGCCAATATCCCGGCTAGGATAACCCTATACGAGCTGTTGCGTCTTTCAAAGGATACAAGGAAAGCATTACAAGAGGCCTTGAGCGATTCTGAAGCTTTCTTGACTCGAATCAAGCCATCTCCTGGAGAACCGGAGCCATCAGTTCAACACTGTAATCTCGCGGCACACCATTTTCCTTGCATCTCTTTTACCAAAGAAGACATGCAGACGAAGAACTCAAAGCATGATCGGCCTTTGTATTTCACCGGGCACATTGGCTCCAGCATGGTCAACCGGATCCAAGTTGATCCGGGTTCCGCTGTCAGCATTATGCCATTCCGATTGATGCATCATCTCGGAATCCCGACAAGCAAATTAGCCTCCACTGGCACTACGATTTACGGATTCAACACCAGCGGGTCCAGACCCTTGAGGAAGATTCGAATCAAATGCCAGATCGGGGATTTAAAATCAGAAGTTACCTGCTATGTGATTGACGCAGAAACGTCCTATAACTTACTGT